CACTTATGAATTTTTATAAATCCTATTATTATATATTTATAATTTCTATTTCAGTTTTGGTGATAAATAAATAAATGTGTTATGTGGAATCTAAGGGTTCCCCTGAAAATTCCCTAGCGTCACTAAATATTTCTATTTGATATTAAAGACAACTATCAGGTTAATTACACTGCAGCTCATTTATTATAATTTACCGTAGAGTTTAATAAATTACTTGAATTTGTTGAGTCTTCCATACACTTTAAATGTAGGTATCACTGGGCTTTTTTATAATGTGTCAATCCTTACTAATATTATAGACGCGAAAGTTTGTATGTATGGATGGATGTTTGTTACTCTTTCACGCAAATACTACTGATTGGATTTTAATTATACTTTACAATAACATAGCTTATAAATCAGAATAAGACATGGCTATAATTGATATACAAATTTTATGTATATCTGTCTTTCTGTGTGAATGTTACGCCTTCAGCCTATTCTTCGCAGACGTAGTCGCGGGCATCAGCTAGTGGTACATAATTACCAGTATCATTATTAACACATCTTAGACCCATAGACACCACTTCCACTGTTCTATTATCACAGTAATTAGACCTCATAGCAGAAAATTACCCCTAACGTGTCAATTACAATTAATTAAATAAAGTTATTATACCCATTAATAACATTATTATACCCACTCCGTTGTAAAAAAGTGTACCTTCTATATTTTTACATCTCATAGTCATGCATTACATGTTTAAATCCAACATGCACAATATTTTCAACCGCACGCCAATATAATAGAAAGATGAAAAGGTTTTCAAAAAGCACTAATTTTCAAAATGCAATTTCTTCACCGCATAGAGCTACAAAGCTGCAGCAAACTCAGCCGGGGCTAATGCCTTTAAAACCTCTTACCTAACAAAGTAAAATAATGTAATCCCCACTGGCGTAAACAAGAAAATTAATAGGACTGGTGAGTCAGTTAATGGAGTCGGGAGTTTCTTTGCGAATAACCATGACAAAGCAAGTAAACGGGTTATTCTTATTTCTGTCAGTAAGAGGAATACGTCGCGTATAAAGAAATCCTTACTTCCTTACTAATATTATAAACGCGAAAGTTTGTATGTATGGATCCATGTTTGTTACTCTTTCACGCAAATACTGCTGCATGGATTTTAATTAAACTTTACAATAATATAGCTTATGCATAAGAATAACACATAGGCTATAATTTATATACATATTTTTATGTATATCTGTCTTTCTGTCTGAATGTAACGTCTTCAGCCTATTCTACGCAGACGTAGTCAGGGGCAGCAGCTAATAAGAAATAAAATAAAGTACCTATAACCGCAACGTACCGGCTTACCTTCTAGATCATAGGTGTAAACTATTGTTTAAAGGTATTGAAATGCTAATGTATTATGTATTACTAATGTATAATGTATTATTGCTGTGGCCAAGGGTTCGATCCCCACAGGGAACAACTATTTCGTGTTTGTCCATGCGATTTTTTTTTTTTTGTAAAACGTTCTTAAAACACAGAATTATGTCATCCTAAAGTGAGGCCAATATTTTTTTAAATAGTAAAATAATACATTGGACTAAATAGTAATAGGCTCTTAAAACATGTAGAAAAGTACGAAAAGATTGTCGCCGCTGTGGGAATCGAACCCACGTCTTCGGCATTCGCGGCCTGACGCTCTAGCCAAATATTGCTTCAAATGCTAAATAACAATGTAGAAAGAAGGCGTTAAGATTTTCGTCGCTGTGGCTATCAGCCCTTTAGCTCAGTGGCTACCACTTGAACCATTCAAACTCAGTCATTTTATTATCAGGCATTAACAGTGTAATTACAGAACACGACAGTATGTAAATTTTATATGTTAATTACTGTTACAAACACTCCAGTTTAGTCAGATGTGGAATTATAATAAATTGAACAAATAACTGTTTAGCTTCATAATATAAAACTGCCTTATTTACTTCTTTTACTTATTTTCCTTAGCTATAATTTTGCAAAACGGGAAATTAACAATAAAAAAAGTCCACGTCATCCCATCGCTCTCCTTGAGCTTTGATATTTTTTAAATACAGAACTTCGTTAAATAGCTCGACTAAAACTTAGTACAAGCTAAATAAACGCGTATTACAAACCGAGCCACGGGCAAACATTATTAAACAAAAGAATCCGCGCGCCCATTAAATCGCATAAACGTTTAATATACAAGCACTCGTCGCGTCGTAAATTGCGACGGAGCGGAGCGGAGGCGCGAACATCAAAAAGAACGCTTCGGCGACAATAAGTCGCCGGTGGGGGCGAAAGCGCGCCGCGAGCAAATCACAATAACGGCGGCGGAAACGCGAGCGGGCGTTTGTCAATCATCCACGCGTGTCGTTCGCGTCTGGTGTCGCGGTGTCGCTAATCCGTTTCGGCGCTCGCTTCGTTAGCCGCGTCGCTAACGAGCCGTGCCGCACGTCGCCCCCGCTCGGGGCGATCCGATATTCTCCCCCGCGGTGGCGATCCGATATTCGCCCCCCGAAAGGTGTTTTCGCATTTTTTTACGGTTCGATGAGGACGACACGCGACACTCGTAAATGATACCTATTTAGTATTCGTCGTTTCGGTGCGATTAAAATGCCGATTGACGATTTTTGTCGTACGGTCGAGCTTTATGCTTTTAAAAATGGATAAGTCCGATAATTGGAGATCCTTTGTCGTTTTTATTGCGTTTTTTATTTGATAAGTATAACAAGCGAGCTGGCGGTTCACTTGATATTAAGTGATAACTGCTGCCCTTTGAAATTCGCAACACTCTTAGGGGTGCCGATGCGTTGCCACCTTATAATAATGTGGGCCCCGGTTACCTCACTCATCAGGCGAAATGCAGAAGTACTATTATTCCATTTCTTCTGCAACAGCGTAGAATGCTGCGTCCTACCACAGTTGAGATTTTCATTGCGTCGCATAATACGCTTGATTTTGATGACTTTATGCCTTTAGATGCTCTAATCGTGCATTATACAGAATGTCTAAATTCATATTAGTTGCAAAAAAAGAACTTAACTATCTATATATGTACAAAAACATAAATTCATCAAATGTTTATATACACCTATCAGATTTTATAAATATTTTACAGAATAAATTGTCACTTAGATTCTAAAGCCAAAGTCTGCGGTATTATATAAGGAAGTAATGTTTTTCATAAATTCAAAAGACGTGCTTAGAGTACATTTCGAAATATCCTCACGGAATCGCCAGAGCTGAGAAAACGTATTCCGTTGTCTCTACTCGTAATACCTTTTATACATACAAATTAGAAATATATGACAGTTATAAAGGAATATACTACTGCCATACGAATAACATCACTGAAAAGGAAATAAACCATTATATAAAATGTTTTTTTTATATTCACAACAAGCTTTTCAAAGCTAACATAACAATGTACCACCGCATAATGTTCACGCAAGTGATATGAGCCGTGATAGCTCAGTGTCCGGGCGCTCGCCTTTAATTCTATATACTCGAGCAACCTGAGTTTGATCCCCGGTGCCGGCACCAATGAAGTTTTAAACTTTAAGTGCTGACGCACTGTGAGTGCTGGGGCCGCGTGGTGGACTATGCCCTGATACCCTCTGTATAGAGGAGGCCTTTGCCCAGCAGTGGGACATGTATAGGCTGTTACTTTACTTTTACTTAAAGTGATATAAGTTGTGCGCGTAAGATTTAAAAACATTCTACTAAAATTTTGATTGATGACTCCTTGGCGCAACTGCCCAGGGCTTCGGCGTTGGGAGTCGTGGGTGCGATTCCCACACGGGACAACCACGATGTTGACAACTATTTGTGTGACCCACAAATAGTTGCTTCGCGTGTTTGTCCTAGTGAATTTATGTTTGTAATACGTCTTTGCAACATAGGATAATGTTATCCTAAAGTAAGGGCCATGTTTTTGCATAAATAAAAAAAAAGATTGTTTTCAATACAAGATTCATGACTTTCGCGCCGTGAGGTAATCTGTCGCTTATTTTAATGGTCGCACTGACTTCGACTAAAAAATCATGCCGGGAACAATGTATATGTTGTGGAATGCGGCGCTCACATCCGACATTACATAATTAAAAGGTACGGCATCCATGTCCAGTATGACTGTCGGTTTTTCCATCCTTCCAACTTTATATCCAGGCTTCGAGGAGCTTCAGAAAATCTTTTACGATGCGTTTATCTCTCTTGACGGAGTCGAGTGCACCACAACGCCAAATCTCTCTGCCATTAGTATCGTTTAAGGATTCCAGCGCCTCTTCTTATTCTCTTACACCTTTCTGAAGAAGTCTATGGATTTGGTGGGATGTACTGAAGATCCTTAAGGTCGGGAAAATTCATACACATAATATTCATTTTTATATGTACCGGTAACTCAGAAAGTCAATGATTACTATTTTGTGTGAGGTAAGTATATTTAAAAATTAATCGTTTGGAAATAGTTCCATGCAGACAAATGATAATGACAACCAGAGCACAAAACGAGCGAAATTTAAAGGACTTAGAAATGTCTTGTCAAAAAGCCTCTTCAGCGGTCACATTAATAATAAATTAAAAGTTTTTTTTAATTTGTTACTCTGATTGATTATCTAAATGTTCCCTGATCTGGTAAATGGACATACGTCATTTGCCTACGACGCACTGTTATCATAAATGTTCTATTTAAGCCGAAAGTATTTACATACAGTTTGTAACGGGGATGAACAGGAGAATAGGAAATTATTTAATTTTAATCCCGGCACATGAAAATAACTTATTTGAAGTCAAAATAATAATGGTGAAACCGTAGAAAAAAGCTACTACTAAATAAATATTTACTGCAGCTCTGAGCTCTGATGCTTAAGTAAGCATCAGTTTTATGTTTCAAAATATCGTACGGCGTGTCTTAGTAGAGGTCCACGGCCAGCATTCGATTATTGTGGCCAAGAATGAAATGCCAATGATGAAAAACATAAATTCTCACCTGTACAATGGCTTGCCGCCAGCGTGCCGGAACCATAGCACCATGTAGACCCTGTCTTCGTTGGTGTCTGGTTCGATGTCGCACGGTAGAAATGCGGTGCGTCCCACCACAGCCTCCACGTCCACCGTCGACACTGGAACAAAGTCCACTACATCTGAATTGATTTGAGCTCTTTACTCGCGTTTCTATGGTCTTCCTAACTTTGGGTACGATGATCCTCCTCATAATTAATAATAAACGGGTAAAGAAATAAATATCCCCGCCATAATAATAATAATAAAAGTTAATTACAATTAGCATAGGTTGCAAATTGTTTATTTAAACAAATAGTAGAGAATAAAGTAAAGTATAAAACATAATATACATTTACATATAGTTATACACAATGTAGTAACATTTAAGATGAGCAGTAATGTTGTAATTTTTTTTAATTTTTGGTATTATACATTTTACTTTCCTTTTTAGTGTTCTTAGCTTTCGTTCATAGCCGTGATAGCTCATTGTCCGGGCGCTGCCCTTTAATGCAATATACTCGAAAAACCTGAGTACGATCCCCGGTGCCGGCACCAATGAAATTGTTAAGGTTAAGTGCCGAATCATCACGTGCTCAGCGGTGAAGAAAAATATCGTGAGGAAACCTGCATATTTTCGAAGTAATAACAAAAAAAATATTTTGTGAAGTCCGCCAATCCGCAGTGGGGCCGCGTGGTGGACTATGCCCTGATACCCTCTGTACAGAGGAGGGTTTTGCCCAGCAGTGGGACATGTACAGGCTGCTACTTTACTTTACTTTTTTTTAGTGTTCTTGCACTATTCCGTTTTATTAAAACACCAATAAATGTATCCAGTTCTTTTTGTTATAATTCGTTTCCATTTATTGAATCGGCGAACCGTTCGGTCATCGTTAATTTATATGATCGCTCAACCGCGAATTAATTTATTGCAAGCTAAGCTACAGTCGTACGTTTAATGTCGATCCGCAATTTCTGTCGAAAATCTGCCGCGTCCATTTCGCATCGACTGGTGCGTTAACGGCAAAAATGTATAACGCATTAACTTGAGCGCAAAACATTTCATAGCTGTTTTTACGGCGTAGGTAACTTCAAAAGATCATCACAAAATATTGCCTCTTTAGAAATTACTGAACAGCGGCTAGGATTTTGACTTAGATTTGAAATAAGAAAATTTTTGTTTTTAAATATTATAAGACTGATGACATAAATTAATTGGGACAAAAATGAAATATGTTGCAGGCGTGAATAATACTATAATCTGTGAATATACAATAATCTGTATTTTTCATACCCGATTGGCGTAGTGGGTGCCTCTTGCGCTAGTGTGGGTTCGATCCCCACTACTGGAAAAATATTGTGTGATGAAAATAGTGTTTTTCTAGTGTCTGGGTGTTTTTATATTTCTAATGTTTATTTATTTACAAAAGAAAAGTATGCTTAAGTATAATTAATACTTATCTAGTAACCTCAGCACACGTTTTTTAGTTTGGCACTAGAAAACGTTGTGTAAAAATGTGTCCTGGAATATTTATATTTGTACAGCGTGTCGTTACAACCGCGACAATAAATGAACACACACAGAGGATGACTTTGTTGTAAAAATTGTTTTAAGCATTTACATTATTTAAACATAAATTTTTACCCAGTTATTAAATTTTACAAAACAAACATTTTTAGAACACGCTTACGTATTAACTGTAATGTAAAATTCATTTGTAAAGGTCACAAAGCATATGAATGTGTTGAATGAATTTAAAAGAGATAAAACATACGGTTAGAATCAGAGACTTGTAATGCGACGTTGTGGTAACGAATGAAAAAGTCTCTAAATGTATGAATCAGTCAGTTGTAGTTGTATAGGATGTTAACAATTTTGTTTCTATTTTATTAATTAGTTTGTTTGAAACACATTTTTTTAATTATAGTTTTTTTTTAACGTTCATATTTTTTATGATTATTGGCAAGACGCGTTAGATGTCTGTTCACAGCGATTGCAGACTCCCGACGATTCGCGAATTTTTCAAAGACCTGACCAAACGGTTCTTCGATAGAGCCGAACATCATCCCAACCCTCTGGTGGTAAGCGCAGCAAATTACCAACCCGATCCAAACGCGAACGTCAACAAGCGTCGCCCACGAAACGTCCTCATCGACCCGGTCGAGGAAGGGGACTTAGGTACATCGGACCCACCGTCGGGGGTCCCGCCGGATAACACTACACACACAGTTAGTGTAGCAACAAACACATTAGTTCGCCCTCGCCTCCGAGCACGGCGAGACCAACACAACGCGTACACAAGGTACACCCGCGTTCCAGCGCGGTTCTCACCGCCCCCAGCCACCGATTTGCTAAAATCACAGTCCACGGCCATCGGTGTCTCGGTCTGCACCGCAACTTCGATGGCCCTTAGATGACATGTCGTAGTTAAACGCACGCATGAGCACATGCGCGGCCCTACCCACAGCGGAGGGCCCAAACCCGTGGGTTCTGGCTAGCCCACCGGTTCTGCGTCAGATGAAGCTTTAATAGTCTCGGGACTGAATGCACAAACATCAGTTAAAAAAAAAGTCTGTTCATTTATTGCCGCGGTTGTAACGACACCCTGTACAATAATTTGATGTGCCTAAACACTTATCGTCTAGCTTATTTACGTGTAGCATTATAATACCCTACCGCGGACAAATGAGATTCTTGCTCGTAAGAAAGCGAAGGAGCAGTAGTGTATGCAATAAGTTTGAAAGCTACTAAGCTGTTGCAGCTTCCAAAAATGTTAATTTTATACTTGTAACATGATTTTAAACATTAATGCATTATACAACAGTGACATTATTCATTGGATATCATTGTGACGCTCATTGGTTCATTCATCGCCTATTAATTATTCGTTCATTCATAATTCATCCGATATCGAAGTCGAGTGGAAATCCCGAAGCTATAAAATGTGACCGCTAGTGCAATTTGTTACGAATGCAGAGCAGAATTAAGGTGTCGGCGTACCTCATTCTACAAAAATACAGTTTATGTGCAATAAAATATATACAATAACAGAAATGTATATTTACAAAGCCAACCGTGGAGCAAGAGAATAAATAGCTTCATCTGTTATACAGCGTGTCTTTACAATAAATAAATAAAATATTTATTTATTTATTAAAATGAACACACATATAGAGGATAACTTTTTAAAATTGTTTTAAACATTTACATTCTTTAAACATCAATATTTACCGAGTTATTAAATTTTCCGAAACAATGAATTTAAGAACAGCCTTACGTATAAAACTGTAACGTAAAGTTCATTTGTAAAGGTCACAAAGCATATGAATGGGTTGAATGAATTTAAAAGAGACTAAACATACTGTTTGAAGGAGAGCTTGTAATACGACGCTGTAGCAACGAATGAAAGTCTTTGAATGTATGAATCAGTCAGTTGTAGTTGTAGTTGTTACAAATTTTGTTTCATTTTTACTTAATTAGTTTGTTCGAAGAATATTTTTTTTATTTATGGCAAGTAGCGTTAGACGTTTGTTCATTTATTGTCACGGTTGTAACGACACGCTGTATATTATCTCTTACATATTTTTTATTCAAGCACCTATCTGAGTATTCGAACACTTATCAGTCTGCAAAAGGACTATTCCCAATTATGAATAAATAAACATAACGTTTTATCGAATAGCGGTTAACTATTTCAATAACGACGACCACGCTTACCCTGAATATGGACTTAATATGTGCTTTCCCATTCAATCTCTCTTCTCAACTTGTGCCTCGATTAATGTCATACTTAATATCTTAACTAATCAACGCAACACTTTTAATAACTTCGTTTAAATCGATTTCAATGAAATTTGTAATTTATAAAGATAGTATGTCATAAGTATATTATTTCACAAACCATATTCATTAGTAGTTATAATTAGGTGAAAAGAAACGGTGGAGAATGAGCTAGAAAATAACGACAATTTTATTTACGCGAACAGGATATCTTGGTTTCTCCACTATTTTTCCAGTTAACTTCCAAATGTTACCAATGCTACTAGAAAATTAACGAGCAACAATAGTCAAATGTAGAATAAACTTTGAATTTATTGCCATCGTACAATTGCAAGTAGAACAATAATGTAGATAATCCTAAAATGCTACCTTACGGCCATTCTGTGATATGTTATTTTGAATGTTACTTACTACACAATGCTGTAATGACAATTATTGTATTTGCTTTTATAAATATACGTAATCGCTATTGCTTGTTTTACATGACGTATTATTTGGAACACATTTATGTAAAATTGATTTTATCCTGTTGATGTTGAACTTCCCGCGTAAAATATGCTTCCAGGATATATTTTTTTATTTTTAAAAACATTGCCCTTACTACAGGATACCATTATCCTGTGTTTTAAGGACTTTTTACAAACATAAATTTCACGCGGACAAACATCCAGATGCGAAACAACTGTCTGAGGGTCAAACAAATAGTTGTCCCGTGTGGGAACGAACTCATATTGTAACCAAATGATTTCGATGACGTACAAAAAATAGAACAAGATCTGTACTTTCCAAGTTATAATAGCAACAAGGATATGCTTTGTTATAACAATCGATTGTAACTATTTCACAAAAGAATTCTACATAAAGTAAAGCGTTATCCTCAACAACTTAATAACTGTTCATCGAAACGTGAAGGTAATATGTAACAAGGCAAGTCAATCAAATGCGCTTTCGATGAGAAATAGTTACATTTATAAAATTACGTAAAAAGTTATGATATACATGCTTTAATGACTCTGAAAAACGTTAAACATAAATGCGCATTATATCCAGTAAAATATATATAAATAAAGAATAAATTAATAATACCAAAGTATCTTTAGAAAACTTCTTTGATAATCTAGTACGCTCTTCAGCCCGCTACAGGGCTACCAGTACACTTGTGCGAAAAATAATATTAAAAATAACTTTTGAAGTATTCTCCTCGCTTCGCTAAAATCGACGAATAGAAGATGCTGGCGGATTTTCGCTATTTCTGCTTTCAATTCTTTTCCGTTCACAGGAAACTCTTTTAAGAATGGTTGAATATTTGTAAATGCTGACTTTTATTTTGCCACTCACAACAATAAATGTTTTATACGTCTGAAAGAGTTTCATATGAGAACGGAGAGTTTTTTTTTTCTATAATCTGTGTAGTAAATGGACGGTAGATGAACGGGTTTTGTGGATAAAAAGGCATTAATCATTAGTTATTGATTATACATAAAAGAAACTATTTTGCGGATTTTATCGCGTTTTAATTTTGTTTCTTAATTCCCGACGTTTTAAATCATTATGAGCCACGGGGCGGACTAAGTTGTTTCACGTCTTAGTGTCAAAATCAAATCATCAAAGTTAGCCCGGGCTACCTCCCACTATTCATTAGTTTATCTTTCATCGTCCTTAAGTTGTCTGGAAGAGATCGCTTTGTAGCGATAAGATCGCCATATTGTATCTAGCTTTTAATATCTATTTTATACTAATAAAGTATCTGGACCTGGCTCACGAGGTGACCGACATATGGGGTGATGTGCTGACCGAAATTATCCCGATAGTCGTGTCTGTGAATGGGTTAATCCCAGTCAGCCTCTCCGAACATCTGAGGCGACTGGGACTCCGGGACGGAACGCTCCAAGCTCAAATGCAGAAGGCGATGCTCCTCGATACCGCCCGCATCGTCCGCCGGTTTCTCTCCCTCTCACCCTAACCCTCGGCCGTTTGGTCTCCCCTGCCGAGGGCTTCCGTCTGGTTGGGTCCTATTTATTTCTGTATTATATATAATATTTATATCTATATGTTTATTTTTATTCATAATATTTATTTTATATATGCGATATATATTTATATGTTTATTTTTTATCTATAAACCCAACCAAACGAGAAAACAAAGAAATATCCCCAATAAATAATTATTATTTATTTTAATTAATCTATGCAAAAGAAGCTTATGGTACCTTGAGGT